CTGAGCCCAACAACACTTGCCAGTGCACCCCCCAGATGGCTCAACATACCCCCCAGCTGCGTTTTTTGAGACTCGGGCTGGGCCCAGTTTAGTTTTTTTTATTTTTTCTTACAGCACCCTTGTAATAGTTTAACCCCCCAGCCCCTTTTATTTTCTTTATTCTTTTTAATTTTTACTTGTTACACAAAAAAGAAAAAAGAAGTGAAAAGAGAAAATATATTGAACAAAAAAATAGAAAAAAGAAAAAAGAAGAATATATTTGAAAAATAAAAAAGAGATATATGGTGAAAAGAAAAAATAGAAAAAAAGATATAAGAAAAGAAATAAAGAAAAAGTGAAAGAAATATTGTTTGAAAAATAGAAAAAAGATATAAGAAAAGAGAAAATAGTGAAAAAATATGAAGAAAAAATATTGTGAAAAATAGAGAAAATATTCAAAAAAGAAATATTGAGAAAGAAAAATATGAGAAAAGAAAAGGAGAAAAAAGGAAAAAATATTAAAGTGCCGATTTAATATTTTTAGAGTTCGTTTTCTTTTAGGTACTTTCATAGATTTTATTTCTCGACTTTTAGGGATAGAATTAGAAGCCCATTTGTTAGGGGGTTATTTTCATTCGACTTTTCAGGATAGAATAGGATAGCATTTCCTAGGAGATTTATTTCAGTATTCAACCCATTGTAATCATTTTTCAGAGATTAATAAAACGAGATTTGAGCTGTGGTCCCGTAGTAGCTGAACTACAGCTGCTCTGATTCTTCGTATCAGACGAAGATATGTAGGCATAGGATGCGATATCCTAGCGAGCACACTAACGACTAACCTTTAGTTCTCTCGCGGCTGTGCGATCGAGACTTTCCCGCTGACGACTAATTGAAACCCTTTTTCTCTCTTGCCCAAGCGCATTTGAGACTCAGCCATAGTTTTGACCATAGGTTCCCGACCCTGTGAAACCAGTTGTTTTTTTCTCACTGCTGTGTGAGAATGTTTGTTTAGCCATAGTTAGTCTGAACTACGCAAAGCTCTGATCTTCCATCCAGTGGAAGTACGTAGGCACAAGACGCGAGGTCTTGGCGAGCCAATTTTCCCCGTAGTCCCGAACTACGTTGACTCTGACTTTCTCTCTTGAGAATACGTAGGCATAGAGTGCGATACTCTATCGAGTCAATTCCCTCCCGTTTAGATTTAGCAGCCGTAGATAGATTGTTTTGCATCCAGTAGACAACCCAAACAAGCGTGGATCCCGTCGAGTACGACGGACGTGAGGGGTGCTAATACCTTCCCCTTGCGTAACCGACTCCCGAACCCAGGCTATGGTTGCGATGACCATACCTTTTCCCCGTTTTTTGCGAGGTTTACTTCGAGCGTTTCCTTTCCCGCTCTGAGGGATAAATAACGCACGGTGGCGACTCTTCTGTCAGCCGGCGCCGATTCTCGCAGTAGCGACACCTAGGAACTAATTATTGCCTAAAAAGAACTAAGTAAGCATAACTTCAAGTGTTTAGGTGGTCAGGGATTCAATGCGGGGGAAGAGACTTTTGGAGTATTTATCTCTTTAGGTAGGAGATTTATATCTAGAAGAGATTTTGTTATGATTTAGCATGTAGTGGTGTGGTCTATCTGATTAGGGCAAGATGATAAGTTGTTTATTAGTAAGTCAACAAACGTGAAAGTGACATGCAATGGTGTGGTCTGTTTAGTTATGGCGAAATGATAAGTTGTTTACTGGTAAGTCAACAAACGTAAAAGAGGTGGAGGACAAGAGCATTTTTTGACTTGAACTTGAATTTTCAATAAGTTGGCACTGAACTCTCCCTCCTTCGTTGACTACCTTCATAACTCTATCATGTGCCTTAACAAATAGTGATTCGAGTGGCCTGACCTTCTCCTTTTGGTGCTAGTGGCTTCGTTGTTGCTAGCAGTTCTTCTGGTCCGTTAATGCTAAAACTAACAGTTGGAGCTATGGTTCGTTTTATGTCATGTGTTGCTTCTGTGCTCGCGGGCCTTAGTGTCTTGGTACTCCTTGTTGTGGGCGTTTCTTGATGTCTCCTACTCTGTTGTGTTTTCAACGTGATTTTAGAAAGGGTGACAAAGTGGACAGCCAACCCCATTTAAGCTCGACCAAAAGTGGGGCAGGACGGGACGGACTAACTTAGGCGTCTGAGCTCAAAAATCAAACTCGTCCCGTTTAGTAACGAGTTGGTGGGTTTGCGGGCCGTCCCGCTAATTTTTTTATTTTACAATTTGATTTACTATATAATTTACAAAAAACATTATTTATTTCCAAAGAGGTTGACAAAATATTTTTTAAAAAACGCATAATAGAATTTTAACATGACTTAATCCAAAAATAAATAAATAAAGACCAATTACAAATAAATAAATAAACTCAAGTACAATAAAAAACGTATCAAAATAAATAAATAAATAATACATTTCATCCTAATCCTATTTAAAAACTAACTATTAAAAAAAAACCAATTATCAAATCCTTCATTTTTTTTAAATCAACATCTATTTCTAAAAAAAATATGTGAATTAATTTTTGACAACTTAATAATTCAACATGACATACAATTGTTCTTTTATTTTAAGTTTTTTCAATCAACACATGTATTAGAAAGTTATAGAAAGAACGTTACAATTATAATTCATTTTGTTTGTATAATAATTTATAATACAATTCAATCAACATAAACTTAAAAGAAGAGTGATGTTTTTATAATTAAAGTTGTTTTAACTCTAAGTAAGTTGTTTTTATAATTAAAGATTTAACAAACAAAACCCGCTTCGTCCCGGTCTGACCCGCTTTTTCAATTGGGTTAAACGGAACAGACCAACTTAAAATATCGAGTCGAAATCCTCAGTCTAGCACGCAAAAAATGGCGGATCAAACAGACCGACCTGACAGACCCAACCCGTTTTGCCACCTCTAAGTGGACCAAGGACTTGCCACACGCTGTTAATCTGTTGTCTGTTCACCGGTGTTGAAAAGGAGATGGGGGTGTACCTGCAAGACACTTCGATGCCAAAGTAAGAGTTTGGACAGAGTGACAGCAAATACAGAAAAAGGGGTAAGAAGAGAATACATGACCCTCTTGTGAAAGAGGGTATTTATAGAGAGACCCCAGCGCATGGTCAGCGGTCATTTGAGTTGGGTTGGATGGTCAGGCCCAACCCAAATGACTGCTAGGGCTTACGTGGCGTAGTGAAGACCAGAACGTGGTCTTCACCCTAGTTCAACTGTCCCGTGACTTCCGAAAAGTGGGTTTGACCTGCTCTTTCGGAGGTGGGCGGTTGACTGGTGACGTGTCCTCGCGGAGAGGAGCACGTGGAGAACGTGTGAAGGACACGTTGCTCTGCTCGACAAAGGAGAAGATTCTGTCCGCAGAGGGGTCATTGCCTACCCGGCGGGAAACCTGTGTTCGACGACTTGGCCCAAGCTGAACTGGGCTTGACAGAATATCGTTGGGTTGGGCCTGCCCGGTCAATCCGGGACCCAGACCAGAACTATATATATATATATATATATATATATATATATATATATATATATATATATATATATATATATATATATATATATATATATATATATATATATATATATATATATATATATATATATATATATATATATATATATATATATATATATATATATATATATATATATATATATATATATATATATATATATATATATATATATAAAGACTCATTTAAACATCAGGATAGAACATACTTCAAAACTCATATTATTAGATTATCAACCAACAAGATTATTAGGCAATTAATGTCACTTTGAATGCAGACAATTAATGTCACTTTGAATGCAGCTTATCTTAGAGCATCTTTAATGGGAGTAAACTAAATGAATAAACTAAGATACTTTTTATAGGCGTAAAGTGATTTGTAGGATTTAAAATATTTATAGTTGATTTGAGTTGTTTTTACTTTAATGATGATTGCTTGTAAAAAAACAAAATTTGACCCCATATTTTATATTTTAATAATATAAAATAATAATTAGAATCATTGAAATTTGATAGTGTGCGTTGGTTATATAGTTGCCGAATACTAATTGTAAGTTCACTTAGTGTCATATCATTCTTATTCCAATGCAAATTGTTTACAACTACCGTTACTATTAAAAAATTTAATACTACAGAACTTGCACTAAAGACACTCTTAAGTGAATAATCCACTCTAAAAGTGGAGTTTGGTATTTAAATAAATCCTAAAAGTATGGGTTTTTAAAATAATAATAATAATAATAATAAACACGATTTTTTTTTCTTTACACTTAAGCGATTTTAGATGATCCTAGGACTTTGTTGAAAGTTGTCCACCTCAAGTACGACTTTAATGTAAATCATAAGAAAAAAATCTTCTCCATATGAGTCTCATGAAACACATGCCATAGCACAAGCAAGTGCAAATACTTTTGACAGGTGCCTGTATGTATCCATAACTCATACTCAATCTCACCATGTAAGTATAATTTTATACATTTGTATATTCAATATTCAGAACAAATCTTATCAAATGACACTTCAGTTACCTTCCATTCAATATAAATGTCATGGAATTTATCGTTGTCGTTGGTCTCTAATCCACTGACCCCAGCCACAGTATCATGATGCTCGTTGCATTGGCAAGTGATACATTGCTATTCATTTGACCAATGTTTTGCTATTAATTGGGTCTGGATATTTTTCATAATCGTACTTACAGACTATACATATATGTTCAGCCATTTATGAGTCTATGTACGACCAGAAATCTAGCTAAGGAACACATAACTATTATTTTACATTGCACAAAAACGAAAATCTACCAAATAGACTCTTTAGTAATCTTCATAGTGAATATCTATAATCACAAAATTTAAGACGATGAGGAAATAAAACAAGAGTTAAAAAACAAATTGCAGGAGCCGGAGTATGAGGGAAAATATGGATAGAATTAAACAAATTTGGTAAAGCTTTGTACCAATGGATCATGTTGTATTGGCACTGTGTGTCCGAGAAGCCCATATTCCAAAGACAAGAAACCAGAAAACAAACAATATTGCCCAATAACGTGCAGGTCCGTACTTGATTCTGGTAAGCACAAACTGCAATAACCAAATACATGAGAGAAACAATTAGATTTTGATTGGCAGCATAATTGAAAGAAAGAATTCGCAGATAAATTATGTATATGCTGTTAACATCAAGCATCTTCTGTATTTGTTTCCATAGTTTCTGCTGTCATAATTTTGAAAATGATTCATTTGATTATTAAAAGTTCCATGCTGGTTGAAACTGAACAATGAACTGATACAGATAATCATAGCCTTCTTTTATGTTCAACTATTTTTAAAAGTATGGTCAAGTTTTAATCCAGCCAAACAAAAACAATTTGAATCAAATGCCTTTCAAAAGGTATAACAAGGGGGCTCAAAAGGAAGGTACATGAAGTACTTACGAAGCGGAAAAAAATCACCACTGTTAAAGCACAAACACCTCCAAGTAAGATGTGAAGACCACTTCTTGCAGTTTTCTGGACAAGAAATATATGCAGCAGTAGTATTAGGCACGTGCTTATAAACACAATCTACACAATCTATAGGAAATGAGCAGCCAACAATACATATAACAAACAATAAGAAAATACCTAAAAAAGCACACATATAATTATATACAAAAGAGTAAGAAATAATTATGAAACTGATAAAAGCGTGCGGTCACTTTTCCAGTCCAAAACAGTAACTCTTTTGATGACTCGGTAAGCCACCAAACAAGTTCTGGCGTCAAAAACACCCTTAAACATACAAGCATTATGCTCCTACAACACAAACTAAATGATAGTCCAATAAGACACACTTCAAGACTCTTATTCTTTGCAATATTAACAACCTTTTATAGTTGATTGTTAACTATTAAAAAATTGTTTTAGCCTTTTGTGGTTGAGCCCCACAAAGCTTAAAAAGGAAGTTCCAAAGGAAAGTAACACACTTTGCATTGCAGAAACAAGTGACATATTTTTTCTTAACTAGATTTGCACATATCACAAAAAAAGGATGTCGGGCCAACAAAATTGCAAGTGTTTGTATTAATTTAATATGAACTGCCGTCCAATCAAAAGACTTATCTTCATAGAAGATTTGGGCTTCCAAATAGATTTGTCGAAAAGGAAATTTTGAAGACTAAAATGAGTAACTCTTGAAAAGTAACTCTACATAAAAGTCCAAAGTTTAACTCTCCTATCATGATTGACTGAAAGACAAAATCTAGTAGGAATAGGAACAAAGAGGCATGAAGTTTACAATTTTCCTTGTCATTCAGATATCCTTAGAAAAGCATACCCCCAAATAGAATAGAACAGAAGCAGCTAATGGTGGGTTATGCAAAGCAAAGTAGAGGGATAAAAAAGGAGAGGAAAGGCCTCTGAAGAATATTCCCAGCCCAATTGTTCTCCCAAAATGTAATCCACTATATCACCAAATACAAAAGAAAATAAATACTCAAGAGTTAGAGTAAGTTAATGATTGCTACATTGGCATGGCATCAATTTCTCTAGCTCATTCTTGCAAGTTACAAAACAGAAATCAAGATCTGTTTTAGTTGATATCACTCTGACGGTACATGAATGAATGCCTTATAGTAGCAAGCATAAAAATGAACATATTTCATAATCTACAACACAACCAGAATCGAACCATTCAATTTCAATATGACCAACCCTTTCGCAGTATACATAAATAAGGCTCTCAATTGAATCTTAAGGGTGTGGTCACGCCTAGCTCAATGCCTGTATCACTATCATTATAATGTTCTGAAAATTTAAGCTGCTATAGGTCCATATGCATGCATAATAGGGCACATTTAGGAAGAGAAAGATTATCTAAGCAAAACCTTTCATATGAACATATTAGCAAGTTTGGTTACATATCCTAATTAATATTTGATTTTATGTACCTTCCCAACACGAGGAGCTATAAGCCATGCAAGGGTGATGGTAAGCAGCCCTGTAGCAAGCAGGATCCCAGTACCTTCTACGGCCCACTTAGTTGCAGTGTTCTGTTCGGGTCCAGCTTCTTCGATAAAAATATTCAAAGGCTGTTGAGAAACAAGCTGTGAAACTGAGTCGGCATTGCTATTGTCGTTTAAGTTACTGCTATTATGAGGACAAAACCATAGTGCAATTTCACTCAACCGTTGCCTCCGAATAGCAGCCACGGCATCAGGATCCACACTAGTATTTGGATGATCTTGCGCAGGACCAGGATCTCCGTTGACAGTTCTTTCCCTCAACGCTTCATACTCTTTCAAAGAACCAACAACCTTGTTGAAGTCAGATATCTTGATATTATTTGCTACATGTCCACATATTTCACAAATGGTAGATCCATGGTTGATAAACCACTTGAGTGCACAAGCATAGTGTACCAAAGCAAGGTCATTTTTACAAGAACAACCAAGTTCTAGTAACGTATCTTCATGAGACAAACCATTTTCCAAATCATTCTTACATACAAAAACCTCCCCATCAGGGCCTACAAATTCCATCGTCCCCGCTTTACTTTCGAAGTTTCTGTTCAGAACGGTATCTTCCGGAACTCCCTTGTCATCAGACTTTACTTCCCCCTTGGTAATGCCCAAAAACTCCAGTGCAGCGTCTCCCCGCTTATCAGACTCAGCACACTGGCACACGCGACAACATGGCAATCCCATCTCCCTCTCCACACTAAGTCGAGAACGAGATTCTAGGTCATCCACACGCGACGAACCATGATCAGCAACTTCTTCTTTTTTCATATCTGGCTCATTTCCCTTGCCCATCTGATCAATTATATATTTACACTCAACCAAACAACTTAAGCTTCCAGATTATTAACAGATTCTGTTTCAATAAGATTTATTCGCAACACTATCTTCTACACCGAGAATTACGAAACCAAAAACCGGAATACATTCTCCAGCAAAATACAGAATACACAACACTGCAATGCAGATTTAGTTCTCCCTAAACCTGAATCAGGAATGTTAATTGCACATTACACAATCCTTCATCAAACAACGATAACAAGAACAAATTGAAGAGAAATCATGAAATTGAATTGAACAAAAGCAAAAACGTAGATTGAATTGATAATAAGTGAATAACAGAAGCAAATAATGACATTGAATTGAGAAGAATTTGGGACTTACAGTGAATTGGAAGATGCGAGAAGAAGAAATTGGCACACAGTGACTACAGACGGATCATTGTGAGTGTTTCGTTTACGATTTTTATTGCTGTTAATTACATATTCCTATCTTTCTCTTTTATTGGAAAAAAACTTTGTTATTTATAGTAGAATCTGCCATTATGACGTAGATGGGTAACTTTTCCTTTTCAGTCAACAAAACAAATCATGATTATTAAAGTCGGTTTCTTCTTACTTCACTCATATTTAATTTATATTAAATAATTAAATACAAATTAATTATTCAATTTAAAATTTAATTAACTATTATTATTATTATTCAATTTATAGTATGCGAGTTTTATTACTAAATATTTTAATAAAAAACAAACATGAGACGAGATAAGATTGTACTTCTTTTATCATATGATAATTGATTTAGATAATAAATCTGAATATATCGAAGAAAGATATATAAAAATGAAACAGTAAGATAATAGTAATTGAGATTAATTGTTAGGTAGTGTTAGTGGAAAATGTTTTACACTATTAATACATCACAATTATTCGTTGATATTATTTTTTAATGGATTAAAATAAAGTCTATTTTTTCAACAAACTGATGATTGTAATTATCTGACGGTATAAAAAAAATTTACATTGTTCATATATATATCGATTAAATTCATAATAATTTTACTAAAGATTATTATCACACAAAAGTAAAATGTAATCACATAAAAACAATGTTTATTGTATTAAATAGATGATATAGATGAAAATAAAAAGAGTTAATGTTTTATTAAAATCAAAGGAAAGGTTTTCTTTTAAATTAATGAGTCCAAAGAATGAGAGAGTAAACAACTCTAACCATTGAGATCGATTACAAATCAACCTACGTCATAACGTTCTATCAGATATTATGTTTCTATTTAAATGGTTAATCTTATATTTTTTTAATAATTATTTTTCTAATTTTTTTAAATTTTTCTCAAACTCTAAATATTTGATTCATCTTCATTTATCTACTTTCTTTATCATAAAATATATAAGTTTTTCTCTTCATGCTCAAATCACTTAAATTTATTTCCGCCATCTCGACTATAAATGTCACCCTACACTTTCTTTGATATTGTCATTTATAATTTTATTATGTATAATTTTACCACACATTCAACGCAGCATCTTTATCTCTTTTACACTAACTTTATTCTCATGTTGATTTTTAACCGTCCAATATTTTGTCTTGTACAACATTGCAAGACTCACCACAGTCCAATAAAATTTTCGTTCTGCTTGAGTGGTACCTTTGTGTCACATAAAATTTATGAAGTGCTACTTCATTTCAGCCACCCAGCTTGAATTCAATAATTTGCATCCCCTTATATTTCTCCATCGTTTTGTATTATGAATCCAACAAATTTAAGCCACGTGAATTGTGGGATGATGTGCTCTCGAACTTTCACATCTAAATTAGAAACACTTCTCTTTTTGCTGAACTTACATTTCATTCCATATACTTTGTCTTACTTATACTTATATGAAAGTCATTCGTTTCTAAAGCTCGTCTTTAGCCTTTCATTTAAATCTTTTTTTGGATCTTCAAATAGAAATATATCATCTACAAAAAGCTTGCATATCGGTGCTAGTTCTTGGATCTTTCCTGAATACATCCAAAATTAAAGTAAAAATGTAGTGACCTAGAATTAAACCTTAATGTAAATCTATTGTAATGGAGAAATTGTTTTACTTGTCATCTAGTGTCCACACACCAGTCAATACCTCTTCATACATATCTTTATATGCAATATTAAACATTTTCTTCTCTAGAGCTTTCCATAAAATCTCACTACGTACTCTATCATTCGTTATCTCCAAGTCAATAAAAATTAAGTGCAAGTCTTGATGGTACATATGATACTACTTCATCACACGTCGTAGTAGATAGATTACTTCCATGGTCGATCTCTCAAGAATAAAACCAAAATAATTCTCAACGACTTTAGCCTATCTTTTATTTTATGTTCAATCATTATTTCTCATAACTTCGAGTTATAACTCATAAGTTTAATCTCCCTATCATTTGCACAATTTTGTATATTCCATTATGAGAAGTCAAACCAAAATTATGAGAAGTGACTTAATCAAGGATACTGAAACCTCGAAAGTGAAGGGGGTGATCCAGGCTCACCCCTCTCTTGGTAGATATTCACTTCATATCAAATGAGGTAAAGCCCTATTACGTCAGCATTGAACCAAGTTTTCAATTAGGGGTAGGGAAGAGAAGCAAAACCTTAGTCGTACATGCTTCTCAAAAAGTCTAATAAAGCATTCCAGTACGGAATCGTGATGGCTTCCATAGGCTAAAAACACTGGACTCAAGATAATAACAGTAACTCTCAAAGGAAAATACCGTGTTGTACAAAAACAAGTAATCAACCCCCAATTTTTAAAAGAAACATAAAGGTTAGGAATAAAAGATAACTCATACAAATATAAAAGGAAACGAAAAGAGCGTTTCATTCATTGACAATATTCTTACAAGAATGGCTTGAGAGAATCATAAGGCACATAAAAAAAATCATTACACAACCTATAAGGTTGGCTTCTCACTAATAATAATCAGTTTCCCATTCATTATTTATTGTTGATAATGAATTTATTTCCTCAAGATTTTCATGTGATAGGAATCCAAATCTCTATTTACATTGGACAAATTGTTTGTGTGTTAAACAAAGTCTTCTAAGCATTAGTTAAGGCTTTTTCATTCTCCTTTATCTCAAGAGACAACTCCTTCACTTTCTTATCTAACAAAGAGGGATACCCATACATCTGTATCTCATCACCCATTCCTCTCAAAAGTGTTGCTAACTTGTTAATCTCAAGAAAAAAACACATCCCTTTAAATGACAAGCACACCAAAAGGTTCCTTGATAAATTCATTCTCTTTTCAAATACTACTGGGCACCAGAACCTCGCCTTTCCCCGTATAATCAAAAGCCAAAAAAGCAGTAGCCTGATGTATTTAGTATGTCATTCTTTCCATATCCTCGTGACATACCGTATCATTTTTAATCATAAAACATGTGTAATCTTCTTCAAAAACATAAAACTAAAGCTCCTTATTCGTCCTAGGACCGAGATGGGCAAGAAACGACAGATACAAGTTTAGTGGGAAAGGCAACGGGCCCCTTCATGACCTAACCTTCTCGAGCCCAGTGCCCTACCTCAAGGTATATTAAAGGAAACCCTCATAGGGAAAGGTCACCATGTGGGCGCTTCCTTTGAGAATCTTCTTTAGCTCTCCTAGACGATGGCCTAGGTGAAATTTCTCCATCAATAACAATGTGATTTTATCTATATTTTGATGTTTTCCCCCATATATATTTTCAATTTATCATTTTATTGTAGTTAGTATCCCTCTGAATTATCCATGGTTATCTCTTAGGTTTAAATCATTCACGTTGTTTTTTAAATTAAGCAATTGATCAAAAGTCAACACTATATCGCTTGAATCATAAGTTAGATATTTGAAGCAATTTTTTTAAGCTTGATTTGAGTCACAACTTTGTGTCACTCGAGTCATGAGTAAATCAAAAATTTGGTTTTTGGCACTAAAAGATTAATTCGATTCAAGGACATGCCTAACTTGAATCAAAAGGCACCTTGACTCGAGCCATGGCCATGTTTGACTCGAATCATTAATGAACTCAAATATTTGAATTTTTCATTATGGAAATGTAACTTGAGTTGATAATTTTATTGACTCGCATCACATGATTCAAGTCATGACTCGAACCAAACAAGATAAATCATGATTTTATTATCTTGATTCAAGTCACTGTTTCATTTTATTAAAATTATTAGTTTGGATTCTAACTCGAATCACATTGCTAGTTTTTCACCTATTTTGTGTCTTATCTCTAACACATATAAAAGCCAAAATATTTCTCTCTAAAAAAACATAATATATTTGCAAAAAATAATTTTGTGCATAACATGCAAAACATATTTTGCATTCTCTCACAATTTTTGAAAACAAATATCATTTTGTCAATCACACTAAATTTCTTTCAAATCAACCTTGAAGAAAAACTTCTTTAGTTAGTTATTTCTTGAGTGTAAACAAGTTGTGTGTGACAATATTTTGAAAAAATTCATCTTCAATTGTTACCCAAAACCCCAATTATTATGGTTCTTGAACTCTGAGTGAGAGTGTGAGTGGTATGTGTGAGATACATTAAGGATTCTAATGTTTGTTTGTGTTTTTTGATTGAAGAATAAAATTGTGATTATGAATTATGGAGATTGACATCTAGTGAAAAAATAATATTTTTTCTCTAAGAGAATTTCGGTAGGATCAAGTGAAGATTGACGTGGACAATATCTTCGAGTTTCCAACACCTAAATTAATTCAAAGACTCGAAATAGTGAATTTGGGTAGGATCGAGTGAAGATCATTGCAGACAAAATATTGTAGTGCTTTGTTTATGAAAAGGTGGTTGTCTCAAGGTCGAGTGAATATCTTGACGATTTACAACAGTGAGTTGTGTACAATAGAAGGAAGATACAGTTTTAGATATATGTTGCTTAACAGTTGACTTTGGATTTTTAGTTTGTCTGTGATTATAATAATTTAAAATTAGTGAAAGA